CCCCAAAACCCCAAAACCCCAAAACCCCAAAACCCCAAATATGTTATTAACAGTTGAATTAATAATATTGGTAAAAACCTTACCTCAAATTTGCTCCTACTCCTACAGAGAGTTGTTTAAGCTGATAAAAGTTATGCTAGGGTTCGTTCCCTCTCTCACATATCTTTTAGGGGATTTGAATGAGGTGACCTAGATTCTGCTTGGGGATGGAAGAGTATAAAATTTCATGGTAAACCTATAAATTAAACCTGTTCTGAGTTAAGGTAAAAGTTATAGACATAACATACCTATCTATGAAATAAGTAATGCTTTAAGAATCATCTGCTCACAATGTTGAAGCAGAGCTTAAATTATTAACTTTGGAGTATCTAAATTATCCTGAATGTGATATAAATTTCAGGTAATGGCCAACTTGGTCAGTTCCTTGTTTTTATCCTATAACTCTCCCTTAGCAAGTTTAGGGCTCTCTTTGTGAAGCCTTCACCTGAAAAGAAGAAAGCTCATCAGCAAAATACTTCATATCCTCTATTACTAATTATTAAAAGTTTTTTACCATCAAAGATCATCCAAATATTTTAATTTTGAGCGTTACAGATTTAAAATTTTCACAAATATTAATGAATTAGATGCCGAATCAATGTATAGACAACTGTCTTGCCAGTAAACTTCTAAAGGGAGCAAACCTCAGGAAATTATTATGGCTTACATAGAACTTGAGATGTAAACCTTATTTTAAGAAAACTTCAAGGAGTGAAATTTTGCAGTGGAAATCTTACGGAGAACTAAAGCTCTTTCACAGAAGAATCGTATTATGACACTCTGTTACTGATTCATATAAGATTATGATGTGAAAAAAATTATTGGCTCAAATCTTAGTGTTATGGATACTCCCATTTGTCTAAATATGATCATAAAATTTCAAATCTTCATTAGCATCAAAAAATCATTTTAATAGTATTACTAAAAAGGTTAGTGATTTAACACATTTGTAGCTTAGGTTTGCAAGATGCCCTCCAAGGTAAAAATTAGAAATGGCCACTTTAAGCAAAACAGATTTTAGACATAAGTCAGAATTATAAATGCTGCTATCAATTCCATCCCAAACCAGTCCATAAGATACAGAACTTCTAATAAACTGGTTAACTTCAGACTTCTGAAAGTCCATAGGACTCTTACGAAATTACGCAGCCTTCCTATGAAAGATGTTGTAGAGCTGGATTGGCTTAAGAAGCCCTGAATAATAATTCTCTAATATATAGCCATAGGAATCTTTAGAACCTCTTAATGCTAAGAAGAGAAAGCATAAGCAGATCCATGGTCTGTTGATAACCCATGAAGTCATTGTATCAAATGACCAAGAAGATGCGAACTTCTTTATGATATAATTTTACATCACTTGAAGAATTAGAGTCTACCCTAAAAGAAGGTCTACCATCTCTAAATCAAGGCAACAATAGATCCCTGAAAGTTTCTCAAATTTATGAAGATAGTAAAAAACGTCTTGCCATTAAATGGAGGAAATTTTAGGGATAAACATTCATATTTGTTCTTTCTTGCCAGAAATCCTTCCTATTTTGAGTTATCCCTCAGAAATTTAAGATAAAACTTAGTAGATAGTTTTTACTCCTCAGAGATCCTTACTTGTACTACAGCTCTTAAAGATGGCTAAAATAGCTTAATATCTTAATGAAAAGGCGGAAATGACGATTTTTGTTACTAGGTTTAAATATTATTGTTCTTTCGGATGGTATTAAAACTCTTAGAGTGTCAATAAAACTGCCAGTATAGCTTTGATTCTATATCTCATATGAAATCACTAAGCTATGAAGGAAGGGATTAAGTCCCTCACAGAATAGCAGCCAGGTCCTGCCTAGCTTCAATTTCTAACCCTAAGCTTTTGAACTTAATGAACCTAAGTTATAAAAATCATCAGAGAGAATTTCTTTTCAAGCAACCGTTTTATTATATCTCGAATTAGTTTTACGAAAAGTTAGAGGGTTATTAGAGCCTAGAGCTCCTTTTGTCAGAGGTAATTCATCCTTTCAAAAGCCTTAGTGTATTTCCTCTTATGCTTAGAGATATTGTCACTCTCTTGGTTAAAAAGTACATCGATTCACTTTTTACTACCATTATCAAGAGTTCCATTATAAATAAAATCGAAAAGTTGCCTGAAGAGCTTATCCTTGTGAAGTTCAGAGAACTTGGTTCTTGAGAAGCTTCGTGTCATCTTGCAGATTTCAGCTCCCTTGAGCTCATATTCGTTCATAGCCTCAGGAGAGTTTTTAGCTCGAAGATTTCATAATTTTATCAAAAAGCATGACAACTCAAGGTCATTCTCTGCATTGAGATATCTTTTAATCAGTTGCTGGTATGCAGTGAGTTGTTTACCATAATCAATATTGACGAACCTCCTTTGAGACATCTTTAAGTTATCCTGCAGGAATAGCTTATGGTAGAACCTCCGGATCATTCTGAGGAAGACCTTGTTAATAGTATCCTGCTTTACTCTGTCCTTTTCTTTCTCCTTTCTGAGGCTAATGCCTGTGTAAGTGAGTGGACCTTTGAATGTGGCTGCCTGTCCTGCTTCATTACATAGTAAATCTTTCAGTTCTTCTTTTTCGGGGTTTCTAATAATATTCGAGCTGGAATTAATCTCATCTCTGTTGGACATTGAAGAGGAGCCTGAAGTATCCTCTGATTTTTCATTCATAACTGGAAAGAAGAACTGAATTTTGTTGTTGAGAGATTGACTGCTCCAAGCCTCTTGGCTATCTGTGGCACTAATGAACTCATCAAAATTTTTAATCGTTGCCAAATGACTCTAAATTTTTGTCAGGTATGTAATTTTTAAATAACTTTTGCAGAATCTATGTGATTTTATGGCTAACTAAACTAATAAAGATACAAGTAAAAACAAAAAAGGGTAATAAAACATGAGTAAATTATGTATCTGTCAACCAGTAGGAGGTAATGCTCTCAATTTCAAAAAGTGTCCCACTGTTCGTAGCATATTTTTCTTTACAATTATTCGAAGAGATGATGTCCAGTTTACCTTAGTACTATTGTATGAGTAATTGCACAGCATGTTATCTCTAAAGATGCAGTTGAAGTCGGTATTCGAGAGCATTTGAATATTTTATTATTACTAATCTCAAACCATAAGTACTAACCTGGGGTTTTGGGGTTTTGGGGTTTTGGGG